CTTTTTATAGCATTTTGATTCGATTTCACCGATATAAAGTAATAATTTCATATGCACGCAATTTTATGAAAATAAGCATATTTGTGTACATATCTCGTAAAAATCTTGAAGATTTTCTGAATCTTTAGTTTTGATTTCAATTTAAATTTAAAGTCGATTTGGAGGAACAGTTACAATTAATCTTGCAAAATGGGCAATGTTTCAGTTGATTTTTTACGCTTCTTAAATAAAAGTAATTGTTTAAATATTTTTTTTGTTATGGCAAAGATATGATATTTATTCATATTCACATATGTTATAAATCACTCTGAAGCATCTATGATAACAATCTCTAAAACTCCGATAAATAGATTTTGTTGTAGAAGATACAAATAATTTTATTACACTAGAATTTTGATAAAATGTACAATTTTTGATTAAGAAATATTATTTAAAAGTACTGATGGTAGTAAATGAACAAAATTGTATACCACAAGCTTGAGTTACAAATCTAATAAATCATTAAGCCCATTAAACACTTTGAAACTTTTATTGGAATATATATATTTTTTTATTATTATATTTTTAACAGCAATCAGAACCTTACGTCCTATGAGCTCTTGGGCTGAAACTTCTCCTTACTTCGTATTTTTTAGATGATAAACTAATAGTTAATCCATCCATATTTGATGATTTTTGTTATTAGAATTAATCTAATAGGGCTGACTTTTTATTGGTGCAGCAATGCCGGGCAAGGGCTATTTTCACTTGGAATTGCTATCTATATTTTCAAGTAAAAATCGTTGTCACTGCTGCCTGATATCAGGCTGCTCGAAGTTGGTATCGAACCCGAGACGTCTTAACCGCTCAGGTCCCGTCGCTCTTAACCGCTTACCTACGGGCGAGGCCATTGGAATATTTAAACAAATTCTTTACCAAGTGAAACAAATAAATATTATCTTATTATGTCTAATTAATATTTATTTAGTAATTCATTATGTGAAGTTCACAAGCAAATATTTTTATACAAAGTTCCATGTACTCAAAATTTTATAAAATTACTAACTAGTTCGAGTGACAAATCTAACAAATAAATAAAATATTTTATATTATAAATTATATTAAATTATATTAAATGTTAATAAAGTATTTATTAACATTTTTTTCGATATAACATCACATTAAATTAATATCGTAAATGATTTAATTTTTTAGGGCTCATTCATAAATTTTCATGTAAAAATAGGTTTGAGAAAACAAACCTAGACACATGAGTAGATTCAAGAAAGTGCACATAAGATTTTTTTGAAAATGAGTATTTCAAAGATTTTCCTACGCATTTACGTTTACACATCTTACAGCTTTGAAATTTTCGATTCACAAATATCATATTTATGAAAAAAATTTGAGGACCTAAATTTAAATAATTTTAATATACAAGTTTGTATCTGTATCTGTATCTGTATTTTTTGACCGGTAATATATGGGAGAATCGAAAAGTACATAAATTTGCACCTGTAAAACGAAATTTAAGTTATTTTAGAAAATAATTCTGGGGCCATTAGGAATAATATTTGGGCTCATCCCATAAATAAGATTTGAGCAAATACCTATTGGTGTAAACAGCTCAGCTTGGATTTATACTTGGATTATTTGGCAATGACATAGAATTTAGAATGTTGAGTTAAAATTAAATAGAATTTGAATTGTTGATTTGATATTGCATAGAAATAGAAGTAGGAATTATAATTTAAAAATAGTTGATTTGAAGATAAATAGAAATAAAATTGTTGAGTGGAATTTGAATAGATTAGAATTGAAAAAGATCAGATTTAGAAGAAAAGTAAAATTAAGAAATTAGTTGTAAAGCGCAAAGAAAAAAATTGATAGAATAGGATATACGTAGTGATTTCAATTAATTAAGTGTATTTCCAAGAACAAATAGAAGACAATTAGAATAAAAATATAATTTTTCTAGAATAATCCTCTAACAGCAAATATTAAGCATAATATTGCATTAAATCTTGATAATCCGTGTACAAAATAAAAATTCCAAAAAGGAAAATTTTAAACAAATACAGAAAATACATTAAATTAAATTAGTTGCCTCCTGTGAGGATTGAACTCACGACCCCTGGTTTACAAGACCAGTGCTCTGCCACTGAGCTAAAGAGGCCCACGGCAAACGCGCGCTCAATGCACATCACTACGGGCTCCGTACACATATACCTATATGTGTTCATATGTAGAATTCGATACTATTAATAGATCGCTATCAAACCACTACATTAATATCGCTTCAAATTGTTTACTAAATGCTTAATTTATTGGTTGATGCGAATATGACAGAAACGATAGATAGTTTAATTGTTTGTTATTCACTGTATTAATTGTTCCAATTAAATTGTACAAAAGACGAAAGCAGCAGATGTAAACAATTCAATATCGCCAATTGGAGTTTAACTTCTAACGTTCCCATAAATAAACAACCACTTTCCAAAATTTCAAACTTAAACTATTATACACGTGGGGCTTAAGAGCGAGAGGGTTTTGACAAAATATCACGAAATATCACTTGAGAAACGGAGTTTTTTTAACTTCCCGTAGGGTAAGTTATTGTAATGGGCCAAAAATCGGAATTGAAAATTTTTACATTTCTCGACGTTTTGAAGGTTTCTGAACATTTTGGCATACTTCAGAAAAAATGGATGTGTGTGTGTGTGTGTGTGTGTATGTGTGTGTGTGTGTGTGTGTATGTGTGTGTGTGTGTGTATGTATGTATGGATACAAATTTTCGCCCACGTTTTCGGGCGCACGGATCAACCGATTTAAATGATTCAAAAAACTTTCGATTCCTATTGATAGGGAAAAGAGCTGATTAGTTTTTGGCAAAGACAGGTCCAACCGTTTCGGAGATACGGAGCAAAGAGTGCAGAAAATAGAAATCGAATTTTTGAGAGGACGGAGTATCCGATTTGAATGATCTAAAAAACATTCAATTAGTAATGATTGGGAGAAGTGTTTGTTAGTTTTTGGCAAAGGCAGGCCCAGCCATTTTGAAGATACGGAGCTAAATATGTAAAAAATAGCAGTTTTTGAGAGAACTAAGCGTCCGATTTAAATGATTCAAAGAACTTTCTGCTTGTCTTAACAAAATAATTGATTTTGGGAAAAAAAATTTTTGTTCATTTTTTTTTTTTTTTTTGTTTTTTTTTATAGATTTTGTGTATATCGAAAATATTTCAGATTTTATTTTTAATTCTGACTATAGTTCTAATATACTTTACAAATAATTTTAACTCTGCAATTCAGTTTATATAATTCTTATAAATATTAGACAATGTTACAATATTTATAATAATCTATTTGAAAACATTCAGTATTTCTCGAACATTTCGTTACGGTACGGGAAGTTCCAGCAATTTGCCTTAAGGCACGATGCCATAATTGCCTCAAGACAGAATTCCACTTACAGCTAGTTTTTTTTTTGTTTATTTATCATAGCAATCTATACAATGTACATTAGGCTAAAATTTTTGACAATTATGGAAAATGGCGTGAGAAGGATAACTACCCAATGATAGCTCCTTCTAATTACAATGTCTTAATTATTAATTATAAAATATTCGAGAAACGGAGGTGGTCTAGTATGATATCATGTGTATCTATTATTTACATGAGTAAAAAAATATAAAGTTTTTCTAAAATTTTACTATTTTTTCCGGAAAAATATACGCGATGTTCAATGGGGGAAAGAGGGTAATTTTAATTAAGAAGAGAAAGAGTCCAAAATTCCTTAAAAATCGATCACGTGATTAATGGACGCCTCCTTAGAAGATCAACATAGTAAATAAAACCTAATAATTAAGAAATTTGTTACGCTTATTGGATAACTATATGCTGTCTTTGATTTAAATGTCGTAAAAGTTATGTCTGAATTGTCTTTTTACATTTAAAAATATATATTTTTTTATTTCAAATAATATTTTTTTTAATAATTGGATGTTTCAATGTTCTATAAAAAAGAATATATCAGTTTCAAATTAAAAATTTAATATTGACAAATAATTACCATCGATATAAAATAATAAAATTGATGAAAAGTTTAATTATATTTACGGTAAATGTTTAAATTATTAAAAAAAAGTCAACGATACGTGGTGTTCCCAAGCGGTCTCCCATCTAAGTACTACCCACGCCCGATGTTGCTTGACTTCGGTGATCGGACGAGAACCGGTGTATTCAACATGGTATGATCGTTGACGACTAAACATGATCTTGTCTTGAATATAAGGTATCACGAACACCATTTTATTTGATGGAACAATTACAAAAATTATATTTTAATTAACAGTTTAATAATTTATGCAGTTAAATGTTTATTACTAATACTATTCTTTGATTCAATAAAAATATAACGAACCACACATTGAAGCGAAGCATTTATTCAAAAATGAATGGCACTAAACAAATATTTTTATTAAATATTAAATGCATTTTTACAATTCATTATTACTTTAGAAAGTTTTGATTCATGTCATTATGGTGTACGTCCATAATTGGTGAAGACTTTCTTAGACAAACCATATTATATCAAATAATTTACTCAAATATTACGTCACCACATTTTATCAAATTTCTACTTGGGGTCTATGAATCAAGTGAGGCTTAAAATGGGGGGACGTGTTTAACAAAAAAAAAATTCGATATATCACAAGAGAGAGAGAGGGGGGTTCAAGAAAATATCACGTGTAAATATTTCATACCTAAATTTACATGTTATAATTGACAACAAAATTCTAAAATTTGTCATTAAATTTATGATTTCTTTACCACGTTTCACCAAGTATCACCAAGGGTAAAGAAAAATTCAAAAATCCTTAAAAATCGATCCCACGATTAATGAAGGCCCCCTTAATAATAGTAAAACATCTTCAGCAAAGATTCAGAAGTAGTCTTTAAAATTGTATATTCAATATCTATTTGCGAGTAATTAACAATTTCCTTTATTTATTTACCAGGTCAAACACTTGAATCAAAGTATGATAAATTCTGGCCACATACCTCATCCTGGTATTGGTCCATCCCGCGAATGATGAGGAAATTATTCGACATGCGTATTACCAGTGGGTGCCTTTCGTGCTGTTTCTGCAAGCCCTGATGTTCTATTTACCTCATTACGTCTGGAAACAAGCAGAAGGTAATATTAATTTTTCAAATATTAACCTAGATAAGAATAAAGAAAAACACTTAATCACAATCTGTTCATACCGATATGTCACTATCACTATTTTGCTTGCACTTTAATGCAAGAACTAATGTTTGCAGTAAGGTAATAACCGATACTGTTTGTTGTGGAAACATGACCAGTAATAAAAATCCTGATATTTATTATGTTAACGATACATTTATAATTTAAAAATATCTCCAAATGGATTAATCTCCAAAACGAACGCTCGATTTTTACTGATCGAGAAAAATATTATAAGTGTTTGACAGCTATCAAAATATATAAGTTTTAAAAACAAGCCTAAAGAGGCCTCTTACATTAATTGCCATCGATTACAATATCAAGTACTACTGAAAATCGCACTTCTGTTATATTAATTTGTTATCTAACACTTATCACATAAACGGACCGATTAAAAAAGAGTGAAGTGTCAGTGTTTTGTGAAAATAAGTATTAAGTCCGGAATTGATTCTAAATCTTGCCTTTTTAAAGGCACCGGGCTTAATACTTACAAGTTGGATATATATTATTATATCTGTCAAAATTTTAAAGGTGAACGTGCTTTGCATACTTTTCTTCCCAAACCCCGGATTGGGGTTGCTAATGGGGAGGAAGTAAGCACCCATTAGCAAGTGTTTTTCTTTTCAAAATTGTGAAGTCTTTTTATATCAATCTTAATAATTTTAAAATCAGTGCGCAAAACTCTTCAGGAAACAGAATAATTCCCGGCAGAGGCCTGGGAAAAATTCAAGATGTCGAACATAAATCAGAAGATGGACGTGCAGACAAGTACTGCACTAAAAAATAAATATGATGCGCTCACGGACCGTACAGATATGGATACTGATAGAGGAGAGTGAGGACTACAGGAAAGTAACACGCCGAAAGAGGGCGAAAAAGAACAAGAGCCTGAGAAAACCATTACTAGGTCGGAACCATCTACCTCAGGCGTCCAAACCGTGACACCCAAGAACACCACCATGAAAGAGGCAAAAATCCCACCGATTATCATAAAAGGCAAATAGATTTAAAAGCAATTAAATATTTAAGAGAAACATCTAAAATTAATTTTAAATATCAATACCTTCATAATAACCTACACAAAAATTTTCACTGACACCGCTATAGAACACGAAAAATCAAAGACATGTTAAGGGACTGCAATATCAATTTTATACCTACACAATCAAAGAGGAAATGCCGAAGAAAATAACCATAACGGTCTACATCCATCAATACAGAGGCGGAGGTTCTTGAAGATCTCCTGTCAAAAGGGATTAAAGCCAGGCAAGTAGTGCAGATAAAGAGGAAAACCTCAGATGGTGGTCAACACAAATTACCTATATACATTGTTCTCCTCGATAAAGACCAGAATATGTCGGAGCTAAAAACGAATTACGAATATTGGGGGACATATCTTCTCCTGGGAGGCCTATAGGCCGCAGAATAGAGCGCTGCAGTGCCACAAATGTTTGAACTTTGGTCACACATCGTACACCTGTGACCTAAAGTACAGGTGTATAAAGTGCCTCAATGTGCACGCACCAGCGTGCCAAAAACTACCACATGAGGCACCGATGTGTGTCAATTGCAAAAGCGAACACCCGGCAAATTATTCCAAATGCAGCGCTCTTATTAATTACAAAGAAAAGAAGAAAGCGACGCTCTCAGGAGAAGACAAGCGTATAGGCCAGCACCAACACCAGTGCCACTGACGAGGAGCTTCTCGTCAGCTGTAAACTCCACCAACAATGGTCCTAACGTCCGATCTGAATATCCTCAACTCCCTATCCCATCGTCACCATACAGATCAATGGTCCAGTCCTCACGAACAATGGTCCAGCTGCATCATCACAGATCCGGCCTGCACTATCGCAACCACCAACACGGCCTGCCTGCAGCCAACCCGATCCAGACCTCAACACTCCGGAAGGACTCTTTACTGCTATGGGCGAGATCAGGAAGCTATTTACGGATCCCCAGGTAAAGCAAATTTCAGTGAGCTATACAAACTGACAAAAACACTTAACACAAAATGACTTATAACGACAAATACACAACAATTTTGAACTTTCTTACTTCATCACCATAAACCAATCGCAAGACTTACAAATAATGCATTTCAATTCAAATGGACTTAAAAACAACGTTGACGAACTGAGACAGACGATAACAAAATACGATCTGGACATAGTACTGATTAACGAGACACACCTAAAACCTACGGACAGACTCTATATCAACAATTACAAAGTTTACAGAAACGACAGACAGACCGACGCACGCGGATGGGGCGGCACTGCGATTTTGATTAAGTCTAACATCAGACACGAGCAAGTGCCAACCTGACAGCGGGCGGTTCTGAAATAACAGCTATTAATGTATACAAGAGAGGTCAAAAAGTAACCATAATATCGATTTACATCCCGGCAAGCAGACTAGAACATACGGACTTACAAAGACTACTGGACTCGAATAGATTTGTTCTTATGGCAGGAGACTTTAACGCACAACACACAACTTGGAACTGTAACTTCAACAACGCAAACGGAAACAGACTTTACGAATACCTGACCGAATACAACACCACAGACGCACAACTACACTTTCTGACACGCCGACCAGATACGCCACCGTACAGACGCACCATCACAGTACGATCGATTTGGCATTGACAAAAAATCTACACGTAACATCCGAACCATAACAAGAACACTTTTCAACTCTGACCATAATCCAGTTTTCATGACCATTTCAGACAGACTAGACGTCGACCAGACCCCCACACGCAAATTTTTAGATTACACCAGAGCCAACTGGCCAATTTCAGAGACATCATCACAGACAACACACGACACACTATGCCAATCGATACCAACACTGACATTGAGGAGGCTGTAACACACCTTACATGACAATCACAGACGCCGTACAACAGACTATACCGACACTAGACTCAAGAACAACACCAGCCAACGACTTGCCAGAACACATTTTATTGAAAAACAACTTAAAAATCATATAAAGAAACTGTGGCAACGTACCGGTGACAGACTACTCAAGGAACATGTGAACAGACTGACAAAAATTATTTCCAATGAAATACGTGATCACCGAAACAACACTTGGACAAAAAGACTCGAGAACATAAATACTGACCCACACAAAATTTGGCAGACAGCAAAAAGACTGACGCAAAAACCAACATCCATACCTCCACTCAAATTAACTGACAACAATTACGCAACGACACCAGCAGACAAGGCGGAAATATTGGCAAAAAACTTTGAAAACATACATAAACAAAATGCCAATATGTCAAACGCAGACCTGAAACAAGACGTACACGAGACAATTCAAAACTTCACTGACCTCCACAGGGACAAAGACTTACGAATAGACCCTGCCACAGTTTCTGAAATAAAGACAATAGTTAAAAAATTACCGAACAGAAAAGCACCGGGACCGGACGGACTACAAAACATAATACTTAAACAACTGCCGACGAACGCCTACATTTTACTTACCCGGATAATAAATAGAATAATGACAAAAGGCTGCTTTCCCGCTTCTTGGAAAACCTCCACCATATTTCCAATAGTGAAGCCAGGGAAACAGCCAGACATACCACAGAACTACAGACCGATCAGCCTCCTCAACACAATGAGTAAGGTAGCCGAAAAGGTACTACTCAAAAGACTTAACAAACACATAAGACACAACAAAATCATACCTGACACACAATACGGCTTCAAAGAACGACACTCCACACTACACCCACTGACAAAACTCATAGAAAATACTGTTCTCAATTTTAACAGACGAAACCATACCGGATTGGTGTTGCTTGATTTCGAGAAGGCGTTTGACACCATCTGGATGGACGGACTTATACATAAACTCATACAACTGAATTTCCACCATACATTACAAGAACATTACACTCATACCTCTCAGACCGTAACTTTACCGTACAAGTAGACAACGGACTTTCGACGGTTAAACAAGTGACGGCGGGAGTACCGCAGGGCTCGATCCTGGGACCGTCACTGTTTAACGTCTACATTCACGACATACCCACTGACGCCGACACCACCTTACTGACGTTTGCTGACGACACTGCCATATACAAATCATCACGATCACCGACGCTACTGACTACAAAGATACAGACACACATAGACAAGCTGACGAAATATACTGACAAATGGCAGATCAAGATAAATCCGCAAAAGACGGAGGCAATTTTATTTACTAAGAGCCGAAATGCCATGACTAGACTGACTGACTTAGACAAAATTAAAGTATTAAACTGTGAAGTTGAGTGGTCCAAAGATGTCAAATATCTGGTGTGACCCTGGACCATAGACTCAGCTTCACAAAACATATTAATACGAAAATTGGACAGGCTTACGGGATGTTAAATCTACTGAGACTCTCTTGAACCACAACGGCCCGCTAAGCGTGAAGAACAAGCGAACACTTTACTTGACACTGATAAGACCGATACTGACATACGGCGCTCCGGCATGGAACGCGACGACTAAGTTAACTTACGGAAACTACAGACATTACAAAATAAGACACTACGACTTGTACTCAACAAAATAAGGACCCACTGACTAGACATTACTACTCTTCAAAATACATACACAAACAGACTGACGTACCGACAATACTCGACTACATAAAAAAGCTCACTGAGAATTTTATCTAAAATGTGGGGATCATCCTAATATGAACATCGCGGGCCTCGGCCAATACACAAGAGATGATATTTGGTATGGCAATCACGCCATGCCAAAATATATACTGATCGACCCATAGCGGCAATTGAAACTTGGCTCGACGCAAATATTCTCCCTC